TTGTTGATCTATATCACCTGTCAAGATTCAGGAGGTCTTCCCCAATCAAACTTGATCCATATCAATCCCGAAGGAACAACAGCCTCTTGTTTCCTGTAGAAATAAAAGCAAAACCTCTTCTCCAAAGCAATGTGCTTTTTGAGTTCCATTTTAAAGTTAAGGCATTCTTAACATATCAAGGCTTGTTTGCTTCAGCAGTCCTTTCAATTCCATGTCTCTTAGCAGTTGTCATTTGCTTATCAGTAATCAAAAAATTTCAAAATCAGCACAATAGTACATGGGATCCAGACTCCCTGTGTATTGTTCATCTTTATGTGATTTATTCTTTTATATTACTTTTACTATCTCTTTAAAGATTTTATTATTTTTAAACTTTTTATTTCTTTCTATGACTGTTTATATTCTTTTTCTTTTCTTAAGCCTAAGCACATTTTTAAACACACTGTAACCTGTTTAGAGGCTTTTTTCCATCTGGACCTCTTTTACTGCATATCTTTTAGCCTTTTTGACCATGTGAGCAAACTTTAAACTGCTAAGCTACAGCTGAGTCCTCTGCACGGCTCTATCAGCTGGTTCTGCCCTCTCCTTGGGTCATGAAAGCCAAGCCTAAAAGCTTGAAGCCTGGTCAGAGATGCATTTGACCAGGAACTGCATTCAACTCCCTAGAGCTCTAGACTACTGATGCTTGTGATGTGGCAGGCATTTTTTGTTTTGTTTTTTGTTGTTTTGTTTTGTTCTTCTATTTTTTTTTTTTTTTTACTTAATGCACTGGCTGCTCAGAGGCTTGATGTAAGACAGAAATTCTAAAAGGAGTCATGTCAGGTTTGTTTTGTTTTGTTTTCAGCTTTCTCACACTCTAGGAGGATTTTTGAACCCCATGTTGGGTGCCAAAATGTAGTTGTTTTTACTCTTTGGGAACCTTCCACCCTGCTCCCAAATAAATACTCAGAGACTTATGCTTATTTTTGCATGCCTGGCCTTAGCTTGGCTTATTTCAAGCCACCTTTTCTTAACTTAAATTATCCCATCTACCTTTTGCTTCTGGGCTTTCACCTTTCTCTATTCTATATTCCTTTCTTTCCTTCTTACTCTATGGGTGCCTGGGTGGCTGGCCCCTGGCGTCCTCCCCTCTTTCTCCTTCTCTCACTCCTCCCTCTTCTCTCTTTGTCCTATTTATTCTGTCTGCCTGGAATGCCCACCTATCCTTTCCTGCTAAGCTATTGGCCGTTCAGCTCTTTATTAGACCATCAGGTGTTTTAGACAGACAAAGTATCACAGCTTCACAGAGGTAAACAAATGCAACATAAAAGAATGCAGCACATCTTTGCATCATTAAACAAATATTCCACAGCATAAACAAATGTAGCACATTTTAAACTAATAATCCACAACAACAGAGTACAGATGAAGTTACCCCAGCATAGCACCTTGCCACACCTATGTCAGCACCATGTATGTGACTCTGAAGCTGGTGGAAAGAAAGCAATACTTAGAAGGTGGTGGCACACAGCTAAATGCTCATCACAGAACATGTTCCAAAGAAAGATGGCAGTATCCTTCTGTATCACCCCAAAATGTGTCTCTCAGCTTCTGCACACATAGTGAATACTTCCACTGACACTGGAAGGACTATGTAAGAGTGGCTCAGGTTTCCCTGTACAACTCCAGGAATGTATGCTGATGCCTCCCTTGGTGAGAACCTGGTGGGAAGGAGAAGGACCTATATGGATGATACTGGAATTGGCAACGCCTGTGACTTGCCTCAGGGCCTCTCAGAGAATGGTGGCAGATTTGAAGCTGACAATATATAGGGTAGGAGGAAGGAGCAGGGAAAGAGGCAAAAGGGAAGGACAGGAGGGAAGGAGAAAGGAAAAGACATGAAGAAAAGTGAGGACCACAGTGAAATCATGGAGATGCACTCAGGCCTTCCAGAATCCAACAGCTTTGCTGTGTCAACGCCGAATAAACATGCCAAAGAAAGGAAGCAAGGCACTGCCTGTGCCATGTGTGCTGTGGGAACACATAGAATCTGAGCCTTTCCACATATTTATAAAGCACTGAGGCTTCTGAGCAAGGAGTGATTTACAATTCTAACCATGGCAGGCTGCCAGCAAAAAGAAATGAAGATGATCCAGCTTTGGCAAAGTCCTTTCAAACATAGTGGCAGGGATGACGGATGAGAGTGAGCAGTGCAGGAAGCTTGGGGGGCTAAGGTGATGTCAGCAACCATGGTGGACACAGAACTTCTAGTTCTTTGTAGAGCACCCAGGTAATGGGGTGATAATTTGGCTGTGGGGATTGAGTGGAGAAAGGGCCCAGGAGTCTTTTTGCCTTCTGGCCATGTCTAGTGCATGTCTGAAGGAAAGAGGATGGTAAATAGCTGGGGATTTCAGCAAGTCTCCTCATGCTGGGAGGGCACCTGGGGTAGGATATGGTCCAAGGCACACTGTTCTCCTCCCTTCTGGAATACATTTGGAAGAAGTCAAACAGAACTTGAAAGAAACAATGGCATTTTGCAGAGGTGCTGGAGGCACTGTCTCTGCTGCTGTGAAGTTTCCTTATTTCTCTTTGGGCAGCAGAGTTCCTGTTGGCTTCAGCAAGCACAACACAATCTTTCCCATCTTTTCCAACCATTCTTCACATTCTACTCCAGTCCTCAATTGCCCTCAGGAAAATTAGAAGTGAATGAATTGTGTGATGTGAACACAGTGGAGTTTGCTGGCCTTCGGCAAGCTTAATGCCATACTAAATAGTCACGGAAAGTGGTGAGGAGGCATGTGCCTGGAAGCAGCCTCCAGCCAAAGTTCATCTGCAAACTGGAAGGTCCTTGTCCTGCAATCTGAGTAGGTGCCACAGTCTGAGTGCCATCATGGGATCAGAGCCCACTCCCAAGCTCTGTCACCTCTCTGGTACCTGCTTGTCTCCCCAATGTCACAACAACCCCATAGATTACACTGTGGCATGTGATCACCATGTGAAATCCACCTGGCTCCTCCTCTCTGGATAGAGCTAAAAGGACCCACCCAGTACAGGAGCAGTTCAGAGGTGAAGCAAAGCATAAGCATGCATTGATATGGACTCATCACCAGTTATCTTGGTGAAGGCAGATTTCCAGTGCTCTCCTAATTCTAGTTTCTCACCCTGGAGGAAAAAGTTGCACAGTTTAATCAGAGGCCTCTGCTTTACTGGCTCTAAGGGTAGTTCTTCAAGTGTGGACCCTGGGCCAGCAGCATCAGATTGTCTTGGAATTACACATACTCTTGGTTGTTCCCCAGATCCTGTGAATGAGACCTTCCAGAGTAGGGCACAGGATCTGAATGGACAAGTCTATGAGATACTGGCGTAGCTCATGTTTGAATCTAGTCTTCTAGGATAAAGAAGGCCAATGCTGGCCTTTTCCTAATTAGCCCGTCACTTTCGTTAGTAACCCCAGTGCACAGGGAGATATAGTGAAGGCATCCCTGTCCCACAGCTCCGTCCTATCTCTTCTTTAGGACCCTCATCAGCAATAGCTGCCATTTCCCAGATCCAACCCACTTCAGCTCACCAGCATTGCTGCACTCTGTGTCCCTTACATACAGTGGAACATGGCAATGTTATATGCCTCTATTTATTCATTCATTGCCTTTTTATTCACATAAAGAGCCCCTACAGTTAATATGAGGAGAAGAAAGAGAAAAAAATTTAAGTGAACTTCTCTCTCCATGTCTTTTCCTAAAGACAGCCTTCCCAGGAGACCAAGAATTTACAAACATGTTCATGAATAAAGTTTTCTGTTACAAATAAGAGAACGTCAAGATCTACTGCAACTTGCAATTTTACATAATATAAATACTTTTGTTCTTAGTGCACAGTGTTCAGTATTGATATTTTTAATGATTTTGTAGCATTATGATCTATGAATGTATAATAATCTAATCAAGCCATTTCTCCCCCCAATGGACATATAAATTGTTTTCAAATTCTCATTTTGTATTCATCTCAGCAAGTGAAATTCCACTGAATCAAAAATTACTCATGTCCAACTTTAGTCAGATACTGTTAACCATCCTTCTGCCACAGGCGTCAATTTTTACTTCGAAGAAACAAAATATGGAATGCTTTTCCCTCCACAGTGCTCAGTGCGGGGTTCAGTGTTCAACTTCTACCACATGGTAGATGAAAACAAAGCTCTCACTGATTTTCAATTTTTATTTCCTTGATGACAGCAATGTTAAATATTTACATATATATTCCTTTCATTATTTTTATTTCTTCTGTAGCCTACTAGTTCACACCTTCCCCTACTTCCATAGAGTTTTTATACTTTATTGATTGTAGATACTGTTTTCATGTCAGCTATTTGCTTTGCCTATGAGCTGTATCTCCTGTACTTGCTGTTGACAGACTTGTCTGTCAAAAGTGCCATTTGCCACACAAAGCAGCCCTGAAATAGTTTCTTCTGTGGCTTGGAGAGGAATGTAAGCTGACTAGGTAGAATCTTGGTGTCACTTGGCAGAAACTTGTACTGATGGTCTCCCAGGCAACATCACACAATCCAAGTCTCCAGGCAGCCTGGATACCTGACTCAGCAGCATTCAGGCCCTCCCTGCTTCAAATAAGAAGAGAGCACAGCCTCCCAGCTATCTCTTACTCTGTTGGCACGGAGACTTTTGAGACAAGGGAACCAATGCCAATAGAAAACTTTCTTGTTATCCTAAGCCCTAGGGCTGGCTTCACAGTGTGTTTCCTGAGCATATGAAGAAGTATGCTTTCTTTCAGTCAAGAGAAAAGAGCAAAGAAGAAATAAAGTGGAACCAAGTCCTTAGTCCTCAGGTAAAAGCTAGGTAATTCACCTACTACACAGAGTCTCCCACCCAGGCTGCTTCATTTTGCCATTTGAAGATTTCTCTGGCTTTCTACTTTTTCCAATGACATCCTTGCAACTCCATTGGCTTATATAAGTTCCTCTCAATGTGGTAAAGAGTGGAGGCTGTTGCTGTACTAAAGATGGGCCTGAGACCAAAGGACATTGCCTCTCTTTTCAAATAGAATATAAAGTAAGCAGATCCTGTGCTGGGCAGGGCTTTCTCCCAGTTTCCTTTCTTCTTCTTCTTCTTCTTCTTCTTCTTCTTCTTCTTCTTCTTCTTCTTCTTCTTCTTCTTCTTCTTCTTCTTCTTTTAAGTAGTAACTATTTAAGTCTCTAACTTGGAAATACATCTTGAGGAGGAGGCCAACTTGATAGTAAACTTTGTTTTTCCTTGCATTCATACAACATATACTTTTGCACAGGCAAACTGATGCAGTTATCTATAAAGGCTTTGTATTTTGCTGTCTGTTCCCCACTCTGTGTGAGACTGGGTCCCACTGGCTCAATGTATGTGTGGTATTTGGTCCACAGGTGACCTGTACTACTTACCTTGAACACCCTTCTTGCTACTTCCATGAGTATGCACACAGTTTCATACATGTATACAGTGTATTGTGCTCAAATTCACCCCATTACCGTCTTTATCTCCCTCTTAGACCTGCAAACCACTTCTTCCCAGATAATCCCCTCCCTCTCTTGCCCTCTGCCTCTGCCTCTGTGTGTGTGTGTGTGTGTGTGTGTGTGTGTGTGTGTGTGTGTGTGTGTGTATCTTGTGTGCAGGTCTTGTGCAGATAACCACAGCTGCTGTGTGTTCTGACATTTCACAGTTAACTCATGTGTTAGTCAGCCTTCCACTGTGTAGACAAATGACTGAGATAGTCAACTCACAAAGAGAAAATGTTTACTTTTCTCCTTTTGGAAATGGAGCACTTCCATGTCTGTGGAGTTATCTCCTTTCAGCTGCATATCTGGAAAGTGACTTTGCATTGTAGGCAGAAACCTATAAAAACTGTGTAAGTATACTTAGATGTCCCTCTGACACAGGTACAAATTAAAAGCTGTGATGGAGGCCTCTGAAGGCTATCCAGTGTCACTTGGGCCTTTGCTCCTAACAGCAGTCATTGCTTGAATGTTCTCTTGGAGAACTCTTGGGCAAGAAGAAACACGTATTCGTCTGCCCCTCCTTTCCCTCTAACAACTTTTCTAGGTCAAAAGCTGTGAACCTAGACAGATAGGATCCTCTTGATGGAGCCTCTTGCTAACCTAGGAAATTCCAGCACAGTGTAGGGTCCTCAGATTTCTGCCACAGAGGAGTTATCCCAAGAGCTGATATCCCTGGATATGGCCCATTCCAAGTCATTAATATTCAGTATTTAAATGGAGAGAGAGGACAGACATCCAGAAACAAGACAAAGAGCAGAGCAGGTTCTCAGCCAGCAGGCACTGTGCAAAGGCCAACACCCACCCTGGGGGCGGGAGTGGCCGCGGCAGACTCTAAAGCAGGAATGAAAGGAGCCAGCGGTAGAGACCATTTGGCTCCCTCTGGACCTCCTTACTTCCAAACTACCACTCCCCTTCCTGCTGTCAGGACTCTATGGATGCAATCATAAAAAAAAAACCTTGGAAACTGTTGTGATTTCCTTAAATGCTTCTGTCAAGGCAACAGATGGTACATGGCCAAGGCTAAAATGTCCAAAGAAGTGTTCCTTCCAGCCAGTACATTGTATTGCCACACGCAGTTATAAAAGATGAAGGTGAATGGGTCACCTGAGTACAATAGCTGCTGTTCACCCCTCATTTTAAACAAGAAAAGAGTGAGTATAGAGCATCCCTGCCACTGTGTCCCAAAGTCCGAGACCCCATGACTGTGCATGGTTGAAGAACCGTCTCAGAGCAATGTAAAGGAACAGCAATGAAGGGGAAGGGAAAAGATGACTAGGGGAAAAGTCAGGAGAAAATATGCCACGGATACCCAAAGTGCCAACACTGAGCTCCAGAAGACTAAGCCAGACACCTGGAGTACAGCCGAGTGCTAAGAGTGGTGGGAGTGGTCAATGGGAGGGTACCTCCTATGTTCTGAAAGGGGAACCACAAACTCATTTATCCTCTAGTAACATGAGAGAGGAAGCAAGTCATCCATGAGAATGTCCTATGTATCACACATCATTCTCTCCTGGGAATAGTGGATGGGAAATAGGCCAATCATATGAAAACAGAAGGAATTCCCTCTTGGGGCTACAATGCAAGGGCATCCAGGAGACAGTGGAGCAACTCCATCCCAAACACAAGAAGATGGCCAGGTAGCTGCCTGTAGAGTAACACCCACCCCTTCAATTCAGGAGCAATGTCATCACCACATCTGTTTACTATAGGTATGAAGTTGAATTCTTCAAAAAAAAGGGGTACTAACCGACAGGCATGCAGACACATGAGAAGTGCAAGATAGAATCTGTGTGTTTTAAAATGTATGTTCAGATGAGCATCTGTGGGTGTGGTTGCAACTGAAAACAATCAGGAAATAGAAACTAGCAATTGTCAAGAGGAATAACAAAGTAAGCAAGCAGAGTCTGGGACTCCAACACAAAAGGCTCTTGGTGACTCTCATCATGAGCCCATGGTGGTTTCCACTTCCAAATTCAGAATGAGTACAGTGTCAATTGTGAAATATAAAGTAACAAGGGGCTGCCCAGGAGTGTCAGAGGCCCTGTCTGTTGACGTCTGTGCTGAGATACTATTGTCCAGCCAGGAGAGAGCTCTGTGGCCATGTCCTCCAGGGCAATAAGTGAAGCTGTTATCTTTGGAGAATGATCAGTGTGAGTGGTAAGTGGAGGCAAGGAGATGCCATCTCAGGGAGGGACCATGGAGGCGGTACACAGGATCACAGTCCAGAAATGTGCAATGTCTGAAACATGAACAGGAGAGGTGCCATTTTGGACTAGGGAAAGATAACCAGGAAGAATGTGACTGGGTGAGTGACAGGATTAGCTAGGATGGACTGCAAACCCCAACAGAGACTTGTGCCCTGTAGATCCACGGCTACTAGGTGCTTTCCAAGTGGCACTTACAATGATGGTTATTGTCTTGGGGACACAGTAGTCCCTGTGTTGTGGATGGAAGCCCATGAGAATCAGGAGACCAAGGCAGTGTCCCTCACCCAGTTTCACCTGAGGCAGAGCCTTGGCATTTTAAGGATTATTCTATTGTCTTCGGGCTCACAAAATGGCATGGTACATCTCTGCATCAGCTTGCTGGCCTGTATGACGGGGACACCATATCCAGGGCCTCCTCCTACTTGTAGGAACAAATTGATGTATTGGGTTGGCATTGATGAGGACCTAATAGCTCTCTAGAGTCCCAGCCTCAGGAGTCTTTTTAACTTCCTTATCTCCATTGAAGTTTTGGACACTGCAATTCATGATGGAAAGCAGGACAAATTTAAGGAGCAATTTACATGAACCCTTGCATATTCATTTATTCTTGCCTTATAATCTAAAATTATGTTGCTTTGTAGCTTTGGCCATTGAGAGCACTTGACACTAGCCCCTGTGTCCAGCTGATAGCCTTTCATCTCAAGAGCTCATTTTTTTCACTACAAGATGCTATTCCAGTTCACCTAGTATTCATGTGTGTGGTGGTATTGTGTTCTCCAAAATATTGTACACCCTAATAAACTTATCTGGGGTCAGAGAACAGAACAGCCACTAGATATAGAAGTCAGAAAATGGTGGCATACACACCCTTAATCCTAGCATTCCAGAGGCAGAGATCCATCTGGATCTCTGTGAGTTCAAGGCCACACTGGAAACAGCCAGGCATGGTAACAAGAGCCTTTAATCCCAGGAAGTGATGATGGGAAGCAGAAAGGTATTTAAGGCATGAGGATGAGGAACTAGATCCTGGTTAAGCTTTTAGGCTTTTAGCAGCAGTTTAGCTGAGATCCATTTGGATGAGGACTCAGAGGCTTCCAGTCTGAGGAAACAGGATCAACTGAGGAATTGCCAAAGTGAGGTTGCTATGGCTTGTTCTGCTTCTCTGATCTTCCAGCGTTCACCCCAATACCTGGCTCCAGGTTTGTTCTTATTAATAAGACAATTTAAGATTCGTGCTATAAATGTGCGATAATGTACAGCTGTAGAATTGCTGCCATGCATCTTCCCTTTTCTAGCTCTAGAACCAGCTCTTTCCTCATAGAACCCTGGCTTCTTTGGTTGGATAATGGTATAAGAAACCAAGATGTAGACAATAACTGTTGATGCTCAGCCCTCACTCTGACAAAACTAGAAGATAAATGTGCATGTTTAGTCATGTGACTCCTTCCAATAGACAGTATTTGTACCTTTAAATACATAGAACTGTTTCTACATCTACACTTATTTTGAATACATTTACATATGCACATTCATCTGTGTCCATATTAATCTAAACTTGAGTCCATCCACAATGATGCCCCCAATTCTAACACACTACCAGAACTCATTATACGAGTCTTCCCTTGTTTCCCTGCAGCTTCCTGCTTCTGCAATGAGAAACCTGTCTCTGGATGTTCACTGGTTATTTACTCAGTTGTTCTGTTCCAATATTAACCCAGAGCTTCATAATTGTTGACTAATAGCTTCACAGGAAAGAATGCAAAACCCAAGTGCGGGTCCTTCTCCCTTGGTCCACAATCTCACCTCATTTCCAAAGTTGCTTAGGTCAACACCTGTTGTGTGATATTTTGTTTGTGTTCTCACAAATAAAGCTTGTCTGGAGATCAGAGGGCAGAGCTAGCCACTAGTTATCTATAGAGGCCAGGCAGTGGTGGCACACACCTTTAATCCCAGCACTTGGGAAAAGGAAGATCAGGAGTTCAAGGTCACTCTGAGCTACATGAGATTAAACCAGTCTAAAAGAGAAATAGATGCAGGCAGTGGTGGCCCATACCTTTGATCCCAGCACTAGGGAACTGGAGACAGGAATATAAGGTGGATGGAGATAGGATCTACCCCATTTAGTCTGAGGATTCATAGAGACAAGCCGACCCATTCAGTCTGAGATTTTGTAGAAGTCTGATGGCTGGCTGTTCTGCTTCTCTGATCTTTCAGTTTTCACCCTGATATCTGAGTCCAGGTTTTTATTGATTAAGACTAATAAGGATCATGTTTCATACACATTCCCACCAAGCCCTTCAGTGATGCTGCTTCATAAGTTTGTAAGGCTGTGGTGGTATTGTGTTCCCCAAAATGTTGTGCACCCTAATAAACTTATCTGGGGTCAGAGACAGAACAGCCACTAGATACAAAGGCTAGAAAATGGTGGCACTCACACCTTTAATCCTAGCATTCCAGAGGTAGAAATCCCTCTGGATCTCTGTCAGTTCAAGGCCACGTTGGAAACAGCCAGGCATGGTGACACACGCCTTTAATCCCAGGAAGTGAGCCTTTAATCCCAGGGAGTGATGGCAGAAAGCAGGATATATAAGGCGTGAAGACCAGAAACTAGAAGCATTTGGCTGGTTAAGCTTTCAGGCTTTCGAGTAGCAGTTCAACTGAGATTCATTCTAGATGAGGACTCAGAGGCTTCCAGTCTGAGGAAACAGGACCAGCTGAGGAATTGGTAAGGTGAGGTAGCTGTAGCTTGTTCTGTCTCTCTGATCTTCCAGCATTCACCCCAATATCTGGCCTTAGGTTTGATTTAATTAATAAGAACTTCTAAGATTCCTGCTACATGGGGCAGTTAGACCTCCTGTCATAATCTGCATTTCATCCTGGTGTCCCCTGCCCTCCTACTCACTTTATTTGTAAGCATTTGTAACATACTCTGTGCTTAAGTTCCCTGGGCATCGACAGTTATGTGCCAAGCACTGCGTACCCACCATGATAACATGTATGTACAAGACAGTTTCTCAGATATGCCAGCTTCAAACAAGAAGTAATATAGCTTCAATGTAGTCAATTTGGGGCGGGGGTTGGTTTTTCAAGACAGGGTTTCTCTGTGTAGCTTTGGTACCTGTCCTGGATCTTGCTCTGTAGACCAGAACTCACAGAGATCTGCCTGGCTCTGCCTCCCGAGTGCTGGGATTATAGGTGTGCGCCACCGCTGCCCAGCCTCAATATAGTGTCTTTAAGATGTGATCTTCAAAATAATCATGTGCTATTGGCTTTTCCCTTTTGCCCTGTAACTGCTGTCTGAGTTTCACAACAGAAAAGTGGATAAGTCATCAAACACAAGATCCTTGGTTCCATCCTGAGCACTGACAAAAATAAAAGAACACTGAGTGGTAATTAACTTGTGAGGCTTTATATATTTCAAAATGTAAAAGTTAGAGTTTATACTCCCAAAAAGAATGCAGAGTCCTGCAAACTAGCTACATTTCATTGCCCACAGGGATGTGGGGAAATCAGCAGCTGGTCCTGGATTCAGGACACTTCAGATTCTGAACACATTTTCATTTAAGTGTATGATTTTTAGCAAATTAATCTTCTTTACCAAACCTCCATGTGTTCATCCCTTAAGCAAGGCTATTATTCATCCTCAGCCCTCTGCAGCACATAAAGATTCTAAGATGAATGTAATTTAAAATGACTTTTTACTCACTGTGGCAATCTGTGTTTTCCAAACATCGCTACAATGACATTCCATTTCACTCTCTCTTCTTCAGGGCAACCTTGCCCCTGCCCTATCCTGGGAGGAGCCCAGTTCTCATGGGTTCACTTAGCACCCAGTGTGTCACTGAGAGAATGCAGGAAGGTAGTGCTGTGTGAATTCTAAGGCCAGGGTCACTGAGGCCCTGCATCTTCCTCATCTGCAGAGATGCAGATATTATTTTAGAGACCCAAGATGCTGTGCAAAGAATTAGCCCCTGTGGGACCACCACATTGAAAGCAAGCTACTCTATGGAGAGGCTACTGGTACTAGGCCCTCGAGCCATCTCAGCTCAGGCCATAGATGTCTAAAAAAAATTCCAAATTGGACGTCCAGTCCATTTTCCTTGTGAACACTATTGAGAACCCTCTGCTGAGCCCTTCCCAGACTCTGGTCCACAGCATCATGAACATCCCCTGACTATTGCCTTAGCCCCTGGCATACTTAGCTGCAGAGTGACTGATCACCAGATCCCTCACAACTACACTATAGTTACTGTTCAAAAATTGCTTATGTCCAAATTCTCATGTTCCCAGAGACCCCATGATGTAGTGACTCATTACCTCCAACTGACAGAGGAGAAGACCAAAGCTCAGGGAGGGAAAGAATCTTGCTGAAAGCCACTCTAGTGGTAAGCAGTGAACTTGAAATCTGGACAGTTAGGGAGAAAAGCTCTTGGGCTCCCAAAATGCTTGCAGACACTTGGGGAAGGAACTATTGGAAAATTAAAACTGCCTGCTTTGCCTTCAGGATCAGACTGTGGCCATAACCCTCATCACTGCTATTCTGGCCTGTGAACTGAGCCTCCTGTTAGGATGAAGACACCAAACAAAGTGTCTTTAAAGATTTTGCCTCATTTCCAGGGAAAACGCCCTTGTTAATTATATTTATCATATTATTTTTCCATTGAAAGCATCTGAACCTCTTAGATACAGATCATCCAAATAGGAATGGCAGACTACTTAACCAAAACACAAGATGAGCAGACCAAACTAACTGGCTTCCCAGCCATTGCTGAGCACCTAATGCTTCCAGTCAGGGCACTCACAACTGAATCAGCAGTGTCTGTTCCCATGGCTACAGTTCCCACTGAAGTAACCAGTCCATGCTACAGATGAGGGCGGGGGAGATGGAGCTAGCATAGATGGAACTGATGGTGGGGAACGCCTTCTTCCATACATGATAGGATTGGGGAGTCTCCACTGTGGGCTCTCTAGGAGACTCAGCCCTCTGATTCTTCTGTCCTTCTGGCCCACAAGGCAACACTGGTGTCACTGTCAAATGGCAGAGGCTGGACCAAAAAGAACCTCACACAACTACTCCATATGACCACTGTTTCATCTATGCTTTATTCACAAGGTGGAAAGTGCTCAGCAGATTCTCAGGGAGCAGCATCCCAACAGACCCCAGATACTAAACCTTCAGATGTGGGCTCTCCCCTTCTACTTTGGAGGTTTGGAGTAAGGGTTCCCCATGCTGCCTCGCTCCAGAAATTTCTGGCATAAATTGAGATACCCACTAACCAGGATGTAACTTAAGTTCACACTTTACCTGGGGTACTAACACATAACCTCATCCCTCATGGAACTACTTCTACTTGGGGTAGAGAGAAGGAGGCAGATGCAAGCTCTGTCTCAAGAAATTTTCATATCTACATCTGAGCTACTCCTCTCCCAAAAGGCAATATCCGGGGAGAGACCTTCCCTTTCCAATACAGCACCTCACTTGGAACCCACAAACATTTCTAACAAGCCATGCATGCCTATCAGACACCAACAGGTCTACAGGCAGATGACAATGTGTTCACATTGAGCCATATACAGTAACCTCCAAAGGGACAGGGGACGCTAACTTCCTTTGTATCTTATTCTTTCGAGTCTGGTAAAAAAGTAAATGTCCTATCTTTGCCTTTGAATTTATTCCAAACAAGGAGCTTCTTGTTAGCTTGTGTCTGAGAATTGGCACTTCATTAGAAGCTCTAATAAAGAAGTCGATGTAGACATACTTGTAATTTTGCATTCTGCTTCCAATCAGGGAGCCCAGGGGACTACACAGAGGAGGAGTGCTGTGCACACAGGCAGAGCAAATGGCAGTTCTCTCAGCATGTCTCAGCATCCATTCACCTGAGCAGAACCATAGAGCACACTGCAGAATCATGTCTGTTGTGTATATATGTCCCATCAAATCTTGCCTCGTAAGTAAGGCTCCTTTTGATTAGGATAGGCAAGGCAATGCTACAGGGACATTGTTTGTGAGTCAAACACTTTCAACAGGAAGCATGATGGTAAATATTTCCAATCAGCACAGGTATGTCCATAGGCACTGTCTTCCTTTAGCGTTTCTATTTCTGTGGTAAAACACCATGACCAAAAGCAATTTGGAGAGGAAAGGATTTATTTCAGTTTATAGTTATACATCACAGTCCAGCACTGAAGGAAATCAGGGAAGGAACTCAAGCAGAGCAGGAACCTGGAGGCAGAAACTGATGCAGAAGCCATGGAGGAGTGCTGCCTACTGGCTTCCTCAGCCTGCTTTCTTATAGCGTCCAGGACTACCAGCCCAGGAATGGTACCATCCACAATGGGCTATATCATTGAATATACATGAGTCATCCACAATACACCAATGATCATTAAAGAAAATGCCCACAGGCCCATATGGCGGGGGAATTTTTGCAATTGAGGTTCCTCTTCCCAAATGACCAGCTTGTTTCTAGTTGACATAAAACCAGCCAGAACCATCACCTTGCTATGGGTTAAGTGTAAAATAGCTTCTACAGGCTCATGTGTTTGAACACTTGATCCCTGGCTGGTGGTACTGTTTGGGGAGATTGTGAAACCGTTGGGGCCTACTAGAGGAAGTGAGTTGAAGGAAGGAGGTCTTACGGGTTATAACTCAGACACACTTTTGGGCTAGCCTGTCTGTTTCTTTATCTTCCAAGATGTGAGTCCCACTGCCATAAACACCACCCAGATTTCACTGTCATGGTGAACTGTATCCTCCTCATCCTCCTCCTCAATCCAGAATACATCCTTCCCCTCTGGAGTTGCTTCTTGTCTGGTATTTGGTAACAACAACGGGAAGAGTAACAAGTGCACATTGGTTAGGAAGTTGAGACATTTTCCACTAAAGGGTGAAGTCTCTCAAAGAACTGGAAGGAGCAGAAAATGCTCAAAGGCATTTCAAAGACAGTCCCAGTGGAGACAGACAGTCAGGCTAGGATCTGGCTCAAAAGAGGAAGTGACTTTTTCACTTGGAATGAAAAATCCCAGGACATACATTTTGCACTAGTAATTAGGTACATACAGGGATCGTTTGTGGGAGGTGGAGGACAAAGTGAGCAGTTGCCTGGCCAAATGGGACAACTTCAGCAAGAGAATGTAAACTGTGTAGAGTAGGCAACAGATATCCTTCTGCTGGGGCTCTGGAGGGTGGGAACTTGAGGTCAGGTGCCAGCAGGTTCCGCTCAGGACTCTTTTCTAGGTTACAGGCAGCCATCTTGGTCCTTGTGTCCTACCTGGAAGACTATGATGCTCCTGTTTTTTCATGTTCCTATAAGAGAGTTAATATCAGCATAAGAGCTTCACCTTTTGACCCCAAAGGCCTCACCTTTCCTCCTCATTGGGAATCAGGTTTCAACATAAGGACCCAATATGAACATAGACATTCAATCGATGGCATTTTGGCTCACAGACACACCTCCATGGAATAATTGACTTTACTAAAGTCCTTCTTTTGAAGTGAGTATTTTGTAGTAAGAGAGGACATTTATGTGGGTTTGTGATTTACAGTCTTTCCTCTTGTGGCTGTGTCCTGGACTCACCAGAGATCTGAGGACACAAAGAACACAGTGCTTACCACAAGGTCTACTTCAGTTTTATTTCACCTGTCAAATAAATTCTGACATTCTTACTCCCTTGCTCCCACTGTATCATCAAACATTTGGTGTTAGTTTAGGAGAAGAGCTCTTGCTGCAAGAAATAAAGACAAACATGCTGCCCCCCAAAGAGCGGATTCAGAGGGGTGCATGCCTGGCTGGCAGACTCTGCCCCCAGTTAGAAAGCAATAAGATTCCAGGGAGACCAGAAGCCAGGTATGAGCCCAGCACCAGCCCAGCATACCTATATCCGGGTTGCTTGTACAAAGCAATTAAAGAAAGTTCATATCTAACAGCTTTGCTAAGCAAGCCGGAACACAATGAGCCAAATATCTGAAATTAGCATTGAAGTCGAGTGCAGCAACATAGAAAAAAAGCCATTGGTGCCAAATTCAATTTTCACAGTCAGTCCTAGGATATTCCTGGCTGATAGGGGTCAGCACCTGCTATATTTATAATATCACTGGGCTGTTTCAATCCATGTTGGAAAAGGTGGTTCCCAGAAACAATTTGATCCAGCTGCAAAATAAAAACTTGTGAAAACCATTTATTAAAGGAGTAATGTTCAATGTTACCCATGAGCAAGGTGATATGCTAACTATTGACAATTAAAATGTGAGCAACAAAGCAGCCTCTACTCCTTGGGACATTACAGTCCAGTGGAGAAATGAGCATCATTTCAGTAACTGGTGTGAACAAACAGGCATCAGTTCTGTGGAAGCATGGTGTAGACAGGCATGACCAGAAATAGTGTGTGAGGAAGACTTCTCTGTTATGACAAATCATCAAGTTAAAGGGTGGCCAGAAAGACTGATTATGCTGCCAATGGGCAGCTAGGGTGATGGCAAGTTTAGCTGTGGTTTTGATGAGGTAATCAAGTAGTGGAACTCTGTCGTGTATATGTGTATGGGCTGGAGTTAGGAAGCCAAGGTTCAGTACATGAGACGGTAGTTGAATCTGTGGGTTTTTTTGTTTTTTTTTGTTTTTTTTTTTTTTTTTTTTTTGGTTTTTCGAGACAGGGTTTCTCTGTGTAGCTTTGCGCCTTTCCTGGATCTCACGCTGTAGCCCAGGCTGGCCTCGAACTCACAGAGATCCGCCTGCCTCTGCCTCCCGAGTGCTGGGATTAAAGGCGTGCGCCACCACCGCCCGGCCGAATCTGTGGGTTTTAATGATTGGTCAAGAGTTAAGTAACGATAGGATGGCCTTTGAACTGAGCCTTTGTTGATCCGGCCTATGCTCTGCAGTTCCACCGTGATGACTCCATGGCTTCACTCTCATTAATTCTATTCAGGACTCAGTGAACCCCTTCAGCCTGAAGACTCATCTCCCAATCCAGTTTGGACAGTCCCCAGCCACTGCTTTGAGCACCCTTTCTACCCTCCTCTCTCCTGAGTGCTTTATCTCCTCAGGGTTTTCATCTCTGAATCTTTCTGTGCTGCCTTGTTGACATTTTTAAATCTGTCTTCCAGAACACAAATCCTTTCTTCAGCTGTGCGTAGTGAATCATCAACCATAAGTGAAATACAACCATAACTCTCTACTCTTTCACTTTTGAAAACTCTTGCTGCTTCCAATTTTAGATTTGTTTTAATGTGACCTATTACCCACTATAGATTAATCATAGTTTTTTGTCCTTCTTAATCGCTGAAATCATTTCAATTATTTTGAACATTGAGATTGCCTCTGCTCTAGTTTCTACAAACTCTACAGTTCTACTCTCTTAGATCTCTATGACTAGATTAAATAGAATTGCTTTGAAAGGACGTGACTCAGGAAGTAATGATTCTGTCTCACCAGTCTCTTATGTCTCCTGCAGTTTATAATTTCCTATTGTGGGTCTAACTAGAACCAGGTTTATATTTTTTTTCTCTGCTGGAAACTCATGAGCTCTAGCTGTGAATTGTCATTGTCCTTAGAGACCATCTTTGTGGTGTTTCTCCCCCCAGCTTGAGTGCTGAATCCATTTGTATTTTAATTTCTCAGCAGGGCACTTGTGCCCTGAATATAATAAGCACAGAGCCCACACCTCTGATTAGCCTGGACTTGGTTTGATTGCTTACTCAAGGGCCAGGTCAAACACAGAGCTCGAAGGCTTACCAGCATAGAGGAGTTTCCAGCACCCTTGCAGAGAGAGGACACTGTTTTTGAATTTCTGGTTTTATGCACGGGCTCTCTTCTTGCCAAACACTTTATCTTCTCTCCCCTCAAAGCATTGGAAACAGCCACAGCCCACAGACCTATCTCCTGGATGCACATTACCCATGATTTCTGTTGGAAGGATAGGCCAGGTTACCATCTTGAAATCCAAACTGGATTCTTTCACAAGTGAACACCAACCTCAATAACAAAGGCAAAAGACTCTTAAAAACAGGAAAATCTTAGAAAACAAAAATACAAACAGAAGTATAATTCAAATCATGGAAGAACATAGGGAAGAAGATGAATCTGGTTGAAATACATTATATGAAATTCTCAAATAATTAATGAAAACAGTTTTTTAAGTAAGTAATCATTCCTCTCTGTGGCACACATTCATCTTTGGCCTACTCTGTGCAGCATGACGGATTGGGCTACCCTGGGCATGGAAGGTCCAGCTAGAGTTCCCCACCAGTTAGCTGGGCCACATAATCAACATTTCTACTAAACCTGCACAGGTTCAGTGAGCACAGGAGTAAGGGCAGGCTCTGGATAAAAGTCTCCAACACAAATCTTACTCTTAGAAGTTCTGCAACTCTGCATTTTTCTCGGTCTCTATTTGTTGTTTAAAGGCAGGTAAAATCAATTCCACAAAAGTGAGGCATCTCTATAATGTTGCTTCTCCCTTCTAGAAGATACTACATTTAAAAATAGAAAGATGCAAGTTTGCCAACTGCACTGCAAATAAATGTTTTGCCTAGCCAGTACTGGGGCTGCTGATGGTAACAGTCAAAGGTCCATAAAGCACTGTATCTAACTGCGGGTCTCCGTTATGGCTCCTGAATTGGGGCTTCTTCAGAGCTAGGTGGTATCAAGACTGGCTTTTGTATATATGGAGAGAGGGGGAGAGAGAGAGAGAGAGAGAGAGAGAGAGAGAGAGAGAGAGAGAGAGAGAGAGCTCCTGGTGGAGCAGGCATTCTTTCCATTCTTATTACACTTGAATTAAAAAGATTCAGTCCTGAATGTTGTATGAATTCTCCAAGTAAGCAAAAAGCTTGCTCTCAGGCATAAGCACTGAATCTTGGGTCTCACTCTGGCCCAGTTGCCCAGCTGGGAATCAGTGACTGCTTTAGCATGCTGATACCAACCACAGTCAGAAGTCAGTTTGCAATTTCTATTTAAATTGGCTATTTCACAATATGAAAACAAACACCAGTTCCTTGAAACTGCAGTACACCTTGTACCTCTTAGAGATCACATTGGCCCCAAGGCCAGCAAGCTGTGGGAGGCTGTCCATCTGCCATGGCCTGACTCTATTTCTTGTATTCTATTCACATTTGCTTTTAATGTGTCTTCTCGCCATTCTAGGTTCTTTGTATTTGATCACGACTTTATTTAAAAATAAACACATTAGAATTTGTCAAATTTTGTTTCCCTGCAGAGAAACTCTGCTAAAAGCTTCAGTGTCTCAAACACCATCTTGAGACCATGACCACAGTTACACTAAATGTCACAAATGTCTGTCTTATTTTTTAAAAAAAAACATTTTTAAGCAGCAAGAAATTGTGGGTTGATTGATAGAATCTTGCCCCACCCAGAAATTATCTAAATGCCCTATGTTCCTAGCAGGGTACACTGCTCTTGAGTGACAAAGAATAAAACCCGAGCCTGTGTGAACCACAGTAATGATGGCATGAGGAAAACTATAATGTTTTTATAAATTGTATTTACTAATGCACAGTTATAGGACATATTGAGGTGGTTTTGGCGGTATACTTTCTCTGTGCTTGGAGTTGTTTTTGACATGTATTTAAAACAAGGGAAATTTACTCAGCAGCCAAAATTAGAAGACCGGCAGTAAGCTGGGGACACTTCGTCATAGACAAAGACTCCAGAGCATGGCTATGTATGTGGAAATGAGATGCTGAGGAAGGAGGTCATCACTGTAGATGATTCTTGGCATGCCTCTCAGCAGTGTCCTCTTCCCTAGAACCTGAACTGGCCCCAGTGACTCACCTGTAACCAAAAGGACACAACATCAGGGCTCCGCTGAGTCTTCTGTGGAGTTCCCTCTTTCTTGGCTCCCATTTGGGGTCCTGGGGTGCCACTCAGGAATTGTCGCTATCAATGGCCATGATGGTGGAGAGGGAAAGATGCTAAGTATGAATGAAGCCATCTTGGACCCTTCAGAGGAGGACAAGCACAAGTTAGAGATCAAGCAACCCCATTTAATGTCAATGTGATCTGACCCGAATTCCTGATTCTAAAATAATACTTTATCGTCAAATGGTTGTGTTACACACCACTAATTCTGGAGTCACTTGTTACCCAGCAACGGATAATTAGGACAGTCAGTCTCCTCTACCCACAGGGAAGTCCTCAGAGGGGAATGAAATGTGAGCAGGTAACCCAGTCCTTGCATGGCATTCCAGAAGCAGGTGATTGACTAGGAAACCAGGCAGAGTCCGAGAAGGGAGAGGGATTAATGAGTGAAGGCTTCTCTAAGTAAGATGAACGGTAAGATCAAAGTGACACCGATCAATTTCCCTTGACCCCTCTTACATTTTCAGTTTTCAATTCCAGGGTCACCCTTATCCTAGGTCGCTTTACTACACTCTGCACTGCTCTGCCTCCTAGCTGTGACCCTTCCCATCACCATAGATGTCTACAAAACCGAGGTGCATCAGGAGAACTTTCTGACTGCATCACACCCTTGGACCTGCCCAGCCCTCACCTAGGTCATTGTTGCCTCTAACTACAGTAAGCTCAGTCTTTTTTTTTTTTAACAGAGATTCATTATATAGCTCTGGATAGTGTCAAACTCCTGATCTGATCCCTCTACCCCAGTCTCATGAGCTGGGATTATAGGAATGTACCACCACATCAATCAAGAGGACTTTTGTGAGTCATATCAGGCCTGGCTGAAGCTAGCACTTCCCTGAGAAATCCAGAGTGACCCAATGCAGCCCATCTGTCAGCAGACAGGATATGGGACATCATGGAAGCAACATGAAGCAATTTTTTTGGACACAGCAAATGGTGTCAGTGTGACCTCCACATACCTTGACACTCAAAGTTCTCCTTGCCAAGGACCTGTGACTACTAGAAAGCTCATAGCAGAGTGACTAGTCATTGGCTGGGGAGGGCAGAAGTATGGGGGAGTGAGCTCAGGAAGATGCTTGTCCTCAGCACTGGTGGAGGGAATTGAACTGGACATCCTAGAGGTTTGCCTTCAGGAAATGTTTTCAAAATATTCTCCAGATATCTTCAGTAAGACCTACACAACCGTCCCCTGCTCACTGTCTGGCCATATCCCACTCTTAGCTTACCTTTCCTGACTCCATATTCTCAGTGACCTTCTCTGAGACCACCTTCACATTGTCCCTGCACTTAATCCTTGTCTCAGCATCACTCAGGGAACCCAGCCTGACTGGAGTGACATTTAGAATAAACGGATATATTTTCAGTGACATATGCAGCTAAAGCATCCCCACTATCTCAATTCTGTCCCAAAAATGCTTTTAAAAATACAGTCAGAAGAAAAGGAAAAAGGAGATGGAGACATTGGAAACAAAGATGGGGACATATCACACAAAAGCTGTGAGCAGACCAGAGAGGGTTCAGTGCAGACAGTGGAATCTGACAGGCTCCCAGGAAAACCCCATGGACATCAGCCCCATGGACCAGTCAGCCTTGTGATGATGCACTTAAGTGTTAAATACCATCCAACAATTGCTCTGACCCCTGAGAAAGCCTTTCCCCACCACACCCAAGCCCCAGATGAGACCTGAACAAGTGGAGGGGCCTTTAGAAAGGGGCTGGGATATAGGCACATTCAGGGAAAAGAACACTTTTAATTGTACAATTAGTATGTTCAGGGAGCTAAAAGGTGGAATTATTTTTCTGAAGCAAAACAAGGAAGTGAAAATGCAGCCGTGAGAGAAGAAGAAGAGTCCTTGGAAATACAGCAGGGTGCCACTCAGAGTGAAATCCCATAAAAGGCTTGAAGGAGCGCTAAGGATAACTCTCCTAGCCAAGGGCAAGCAGTGGACCATAGTACATGCGCACACACAAAAGAGATAGGGGAAGGTTAGTTCAGCAATTGAACAGGAAGGACTTTCACTTTAGTGTTTTAGAATACCAGGAAGAAGGGTGCCCTCAAACATTCCTAGAGAGAAGGGAAGGTCCACAGAAGTATACTGAGTGCTGCTGATGCTGGCCTGGTGAGTACTGGAAATGAGAAATGCATGAGAAGAGGTTGTAAAAATTTTAGGGAAAAAAAGTTCCCACATGAATTATATATCTGGCTAAACTGTTAAATGATCAAATAGATAGAATATGGCGATTTACAGGTACACACAATCACAAGCATGGCTTTCTAGGCAACTTCAGGAGCACATATTGTAAGGTTATGTCTTCCTGAGTGGAGGCTGGAGGCCAGGAAATAAGACCTGCAGGACTGGAGAGAGTAGCAGGAAGTGGCTCTCACCTTTAATCCCAGCACTCAGGAGTCAGAGGCAGGTGGATGTCTGAGTTTTGAAGCTACCCTAACCTACATAGCGCTAAGGCTACCTTGTTGAGGAGGTGGGGTGTCGGATTTTTCATGAGGTACGGGTCTGCGCCAGAGAACAAAAGAATAGGAGAAAAATACTGCAAATTTTGAATTCGGGTTTTTGCCCAGGCCAGTGGTCTGTGGTACAACTCCCACTGGTGGCGCTGGTCAAGCATGCTTGACCACAGATCTCAGCCAGCACACATCACAAAGGGACGCAACAGACCCTCCACAGTGTACAGTCTGGATACTACATACAGCTAGGGACAGAGGTGCTCTAGGGAGATATCTGAACATCTTGGCACCCAGGTCAAACGTTCAGGATCTCAATGTACACAGAACACAACTGTGAGCACCTAGTGGCAGTGGAGGCCATGGGCTCATGGCCTCCCTATCACAAGATTGATGAGCTGCTGTTATCAGGACCTTCTTCATGAACTATAGAAGCCACCAAACCCTGGGGTGCACTCAGCTAGACTTCCTTTTGGGGGGTGGTTGTTATATGTTCTTTATGCTTCCACATGCTGGCCCTGGACCTGTGCAGATGAACCTACAAATCAGAGTCAGCATGCCTGGTGGGAGGGGGGTGGTGTGCTGTGAGGCAGGCTGCCCTCATGAGCCTGTTCAGGGAATGTGAGATCTGCTGTCCTGTATCCAAAGCACTGTCCTATCTCAGAAAGTGTCAGCTGAGGCTTTTCTCTCCCTGTGGCCTCTGTCTTCCAGGCCAGAGTTGGGCTCCAAAACCAGTGTATACCCACAAACTGTCTCAGAGCCTGTTAGTGAGCTTGCTCTACTCAGGATATACCAACTGCCTTTAATGTGGCATGTTAAGGTCTAACAGTACTCAAGAATGCAGGAAGTTTCCCTGTTAGACCACAATTGGAGATGGAGTGAGCATGGAGATAAGTGCCTGATTTCCAGATCTAACCAGTGGTAAGTGGCTAAACATCCTTATTCAGACTTTCCATCTGTCCCTCATTCCTCTTAAACTTTGTGTATATGGCAGCTAATGTTGGAATGAGCTGTTTGGTCTAAGGGCCATCCCCTCCTGGGGGCTCATCATGGCCCCGCTGTGCTCCTCCCACTGCCAGTACAGCGCTCAGTGTCTTTTCCTGGCACAGTGGATGTTAGCTGGCAGTAAATCATGGAAATGACCTTGAGAATGCAAAGACATGTAAGGCAGCCAGGTACTCATACCAGAGGAAACACAGGCAGTCAAGGTGCCCACAGTGTTAGTAATTTTCAGAGAAGTGGCTATAAAGACTGCAGGAGCCTGTCCCAGACTCGAGGAGGTGGGGTCCAGCATTTGCTGCCAAGGCCCTCATGCTATGCGTGACCCAGGACTCTCCATGAGCAACCAGCAGCCTGGCTGGGTAGATGATGCGGAACATGGAAGTATCTGGCCTGAATGCCTCCTTCCCTTTAGGATAGTAACTACAGGAAGAGCAGAGCCGCAGGGCACTCTTTCAGAGAAAATTGTGCTTTTTTTTTTTTTTCAAAACCTCAAACTAAGCGGTTTCCAGCAGAAGGAAATGGACACTTTGAGAACTGCTTGTCAAGATTTCAATCTAGAGCTAGAGAATCCTCAGCACAGGGTCGGTCACTGGCGCACCGAAAGACCAGAGTCCAGGTACTTCAGAGAACATAGTCTCATCACAGCAGGAGACTGGGTGTCCTCAAGGAGAGGCATGGTGTTGCTGAGAACCAGGGTCCCTGGATGTCAGTGAATCTCCTGTGAAACTTCAAATCTGAGCACAGGTCTGTGGACACTTGTGATGTGGAGATGCTGGAACCGTGAGTTTCTGCAGATATCGAGATCCCTTCCTTGACTCCATAGAATTTCCTTCATCCTGAAGTTATTTCACTGTGTCCAAGTATGGGGGACCAGGAGAAGAAAGGAGAATATTCCAGCCTGTGAAACTATGTTAAGAAAAGTCAGTTGGGTAACTCAGGGACCAGGATCTTCAGCACAAAGAGGAGATATTAGAAAGCTAGATGGGGTCAACCTTACAGATCTCCAGGTCTGGAAATGTCTGGGCCAACTAGTAGACTCTGCAGGAATCCTGGCAGAACCACCCTGCTTCCCCATAGAAAGCAATGCTTATTTTAGATTGAACCATCTCCTAGCCCTTGTCCATGGATGAGCTCTCCTATCAGCCAGACAGAGCCATTAAAACGACCACCCAAGAAGAAGAAATAACCACTTCTCTGCAAACTTGGCATGTCTTACCTCGACAATCAGAGCAAAGTGACCATCACATGTCAGAAAGCCTTGAGTTCTTTCACAGGAACACAGTGTGTTCCTTTGATCCAGTTGTTGGGTGGCCACAAGTCTAGCTAAAGAGACATGAACGGGTAGTGGCAATTTTAGCCAATGCACAGTTGTCCTCACCAAGAGTTCTCCATTTTTTAGCGGTTTTATATTCTCAGTTTAAGATTTTATTTATCCGTTCATTTCTTTATATACTTCTTTATTTCATCTATTTGTTGTGGTGTAGGGGATGGGAGCCAGGGAGCCAGGCATTCCAGGCAAGCGCGCTACACTGAGCTCCATCTCAGCCTTATTTGTCTCAGCTGAAACTGCTTTTCATTCATGAAGGTGAACTGCTTCCTTGAGTCTTAATGGCTGCTTTTGCTCTCTGATTTTAAGATCAGATCTTCCTTGTATCTTTACAGAAAGACAAAAGAAGAGAGCTCCTTATCTCAGGAATCAGAGTGTACACAGTGCTCTCTGCATGCCCAGCCCCTCATAGTTTAGGTGGTTTCTCCCTTTTCAGCTATGTCTAAAACCCTGGGCTTGCATATGGGCCTGCATTATACTTGCTTTTCTCTCAGAGCATGTTCTCTCTCTCTCTCTCTCTCTCTCTCTCTCTCTCTCTCTCTCTCTCTCTCTCTCTCTCTCTGTGTGTGTGTGTGTGTGTGTGTGTGTGTGTGTGTGTGTGTGTGTGTGTGTGTATGTGTGTGTGTGCATGTGTTGATGTGTATGGGCACATGTGTGCAGAAGCTTGTAGCGGCAGAGAGCAGCATCAGACGTCTTCCACAATCACTTTCCATTTTGTTTTTGAGACAGTCTTTCACTGAAACTAGAGCTTACCAATTTGGCTCAACAGGTTAGCCAACAAACCCCAGGGTTCCTCTGGTCTCTGCCTCTCCAGCACTAAGTTTCCAGGCACACACTGCCACAGCCAACTAGGGGTTAACACAGTAAGCCCTTTCCTTTACAAACTAAGCCATCTTACCAACCCAGTTTCTAAGGTTCTCTTTTCCTGTGACTTTATCTGTGGGCTGAAATCCACCTGTACAGGGTTCAAGAGTAGAGAAGCCATGGCTGCTGGCCACACTAAGGCCCCTCCCTGTGCCCTCCTCCTCTGGCATGCAAAGGTGCACACCAAGCCATTGCTACTCCAAGCTTGTGAGACTCCTGCACTTTCTGTTTTATGACAGACATTACTCACAACATGTTGGCTAAAGGGCAGGGAAAGAAATACCCAGGCACAAGGGAGCTTGTTCTTACTCTGCCGAGGAAAGAAGGCAGCAGTGTTCTCACTACAATAAGCATAGGCTAACAGGGCTTCTCGGGACTGTGAATCATGTCTTTGTGGCTAGGAAGGTGTATTCAAATGGAAGGCGGATATTAAGTCTTACTACACACTGTCACCTCCCTCTTGTTCAGTCTGGTGACTTTCAAAGTTCTGGGTTCCAAAGTGGCAGAGGAAAAACCAAAAGAAAGCCCCCTGTTGTGACCCTCCAGAGGTGCAGCCTCTTAAGCCCAGGAACCTGAATTTGGTTACACTCCAAAGGCTGGTTGAGATCAGATTCCATTCTGGCTAGAGGAGCCCCCAGGTAGACATTCTGCATGTGCCTCTGTGGTAGTATTAGTTACCTTCTCCCAGGGACCATGTGGTGGTTTCCCAGTGGCTTTAGGGGTAAGGGGGTAGCCTATGGTTTGAACCTTCTAGAGGCAAAGATTCTGAGCTACAGTGAGGAAGAACAAGTTGTCTATCTGGAAGGGGGTAGCCTATGATTTGAACCTTCTAGAGGCAAAGATTCTGAGCTACAGTGAGGAAGAACAAGTTGTCTATCTGGAAGATGATTCCACGTACCTGGTGGTGAGCAGGACCCTGAGGAAAGACCAGGAAGAGGTTGCCAGAAGCCACTGAGGGCAGGTACTGAGTACGGCATCCTAAGGAAGAGTGAATATTCAGTTCGAGGAGAGCTCCACAGGGGTGGGAACAGATTCCCAGTCTTTCCAGCCCAAGAAGCAGACAGGAGATGACCACAACAGAATCCAAGTCAGACTGACAAGCCAGTTCCTCTAGACCTCTGACCACAAGAACTGTGGGACATAAGTGAGTAGCCTTGCTTATGGTCACAGAGGTTGGAGTTGTCGTGTTTCTTAGCAACAGATGACAGACACAGCACAAACTTCTAGACTATGAGGGCTGAGGCCTATTCTGGTACAGAGAGCAGCAGGTCAGGCTGGGTCTCAGGAAAGCTGCAAGAGGTAGGTGGCTAGTTCACATACAAGCAAGCAGTGTTTTCACACTCATGGGATACCCTGAGACTAACTTCTTGGGGTGCTTTCTAAATACTCACCTTTGCCACGGGAGTTTCCTGTGTAGATCTGAGTATAGACAAATCTAGTTATTCGGGGCACTCTTCGTTCCAGCCAGTCTCCCCACCCCCACTGTGTCTCTGTTGCCTAAAGGCACTGGTTACATCTGTCCCTTGTCCTTGTCTCCTCCTTCTCCTTCCCCAAAAGAGTAGCCAGGAGTAGCATGAAGAATCCACTGAGCTGGGCCGGTCTGTTTATGAAGCACACACTTGCACATAGTCTTGTCTCCATCATCTGCAGACAGGCTGAGCACTCCTACCTTCATACCTAACAATTAACCTGTCATAGGACTTTATGCTGTTAGCCAGGAGGCAGGCATTTCTTCCGGTTTGTCCCCTCCCAAAGGGTCAAGAAGAAGGCTGGTAACCACAGTTATCCACTTTCCGAGATGAAGGGTTGGTGCGGAATCCCCTTCCTGAGGTCATGGGGTAGGTAAATGACAACTGTTCCCATGGCTTTGGGACTCCAGAAACTCTGATCCTGGGAAAGGCAGTTGTGAAGGAAGTACAGCATGACCTTACCTACCTGATGCTTTGGCTGTCTCTACCACACTGTCCTCATGTCACACCCCTGGTGTTTGTTGGAAGAAAAAATACTCAACAACTGAGCAACAACAACAAAAGAGAAAGCAGGATCTTCTAAGGCAGACTAGGAGAAGGAAGGAGTAAGCCTGATCCGCAGACATGGAGACTTGGGGTATGAGTGCTTTGGCTCCCTATGCTCAGAACCTTCAGTACAGGGCCAGAGTTCAGCTGTAGAGATGGGCAGGCCACTACTCCGTGTTTTCACCCCTGAACAAACAAAGATCAGTTACTAAGGGCTAAACCATGCACGGCTTTTGAAGGTGATATTTCAGCACTTACACAGTTGGTCATCCATTAATAGTTACTGACTGCCCACCAACATCACCATCCACCTCCTATGGGCATGCTCTAGGTTCCCAGTTGACCATAGAGGACAAGGGAAGTGCAGGCCCTGGTCCATAGTAAGTACCCACAGGTTCAACTCTGATGAGTCAGGAAAGTGGCACTCAGGAGATCTTTCGGAAGGTTCTTGATCAGCTAAAGTGGGCTCTGCACCCACCCTCCAGGTTGCCTTTGTCTCTCCTCCTCCATACTAGCCCAGGAACACCATGTGAAGGCTAGGATAATGACAGGCAGTGGTTAGCTGTGCTGCCTGCTGATGTCCCAGGGCTGTTCGGGGTTAATGCCAAGAAGGGCAATTACAGTGAATTATGTTATAGGACATTGGAGTGTTTGGGAGCATTGCTATGTAAAATGAAACCCAGCTAATTATAGCTTAATTAATTAATTACTGCTGTCCTTTGAGGCTTCTCATTTTAAATTCCCTCAACTCCACTTCATCAGAACCTTGTCCACTGTTAGCTTCCAAGCTCAATGCCAAGGCAAGAAATGAGGAAGGAAAAAATAAAACCCAGCTTTGAAGATTCAGAAGCTGGTGTCCAGAGAAGGGGTTCAGTGGCAGAAGTGGGTCCTTATGAACACATCACAGATTTCCAATCTCACTAAACCAGCATCAGGCGATTTGGAAAATGATTTCCCACTCACCAGTTATCTCCAAGTCTGGTCTTCTATATAACTCATGGCATATGTTATTGCTTTTAGGTTAAGTGAATAGCATGTCCTCCTGTACCCACATATAATGCAGAAATATCACAGATACACCATGAAAAGTGGGACCAGTGAGAATATACAGCTTTTTAGGGGTGGCTCATGAGTTAGGGGATGCCACAGAAGAATGAGCTCCACCTTTCTGCTGAGCAGTGAGTCCTCTGCTTCTTAGGATTAGCCTTCCTCTGCATCACTAAGAGTTACAGGGGATCATGTGTCTCAGCAGCATCCACTCCACTAGTCCATGAGCCATGTGGCTCAGGAAGTCCCTCCATATTGCTACAACTTAATCCAACAGTGCTCTACTTCCTGAATCAAGGAGCATGCGTAGCGTAGTGTGGCGAAGAGTCCCAGCCAGCCAGTAGAATCTGAACACAGAGATTTATGCTCCTCCACCAGCAGATCTGGGACAGGAGGTTTCTGAAACTAGTTCACAGGTCTCTGAGTGTTGACATGAGCTTCCATAATCACCTCTGGGATTCCCCACAGCCTCAAGACACCCACTATTTAGATGGCTCCATGTCCCCAGGCAGGAAGGAGGAGTGTCTTATGTAGTTTCATGGCTTATCAGAGAAGAAAATACTTCCCAGAGTTCTTCCAAAGATGAATGAGACCTTCCTACAGCACTCAACTCCCCTCTCTGGATAGTGTGTTTAGTCTCAGTTGTGGAAAGGGACTAGGAAGGGAGGAATTAAAGAAGGATTTACGGGGTCTGCCCTCAAAATGCTGATTCTGAGCCAATATCTAATCTCAACATCACTGTTTACCTCATGACTCCAAGAAGGTTAAACCTAACCCAGCTTTTGCAGGGGTGGGGAGCAGTCAGGAATCAAAGGTGCCTCAGCACATGGTGGCTAACTTCTGAAGAATGGAACCTCAAGACTTCTGGGATGCATTTAATAATATTATGCCCTACTTTTCTCTCTGAGAAATGAGAGATACAATTTTCTTCTCCATACTTCTATTGGGCTTTAGAGATTGAAAATGTTCTTTAGAAATTGTTTTCCTAATGAAAACTATACCATTGTTGAGTAGGAAGTATGGCAGTAGAGATGAGAGCCTCACCCACCCCTGGTCTATCATTCCTGAGACCCTGCCTTCACATGTGTGGTCTCACTGGGATACTTCAAGATGTGACTTCCTTAAAACAAGACAGAATGGGAGCTTCGACTCCCTTGACATGTGGGAGCAGCGACAAACACCAACCATATACTCCTTTAACAGTTAGGGACTTACCAGGTGCCCAGTCATTATGGGAATCCTTGCTGTTCCCGTGTCCTTGCCTGTATTGGCACATCCTCTCTGTAGTCCAGTGAAGTTGAATGTTGGAAAGGAGCCAAGCAGAACCCTTTCCTCGCCATTATTTCCAACTTGTTCACTCTCCCTCTGTTTTTCTCTGCCAACTCTGCAGACAAACAAAGCTGTGGCCAAAGGAGACTTCCATCAGGCCAGCACCAGCTCCCGGAGGGCCCTGTTCCTGGCAGTGCTATCCATCACCATTGGAACTGGCATCTACGTGGGTGTGGCTGTCGCCCTCATCGCCTACCTCTCCAAGAATAACCACCTGTGAGCTTCCTAAAGGCTGGCAGAAGGAGGGGAGCCGGGCCATGTATGTGAGGGTGGAGAAGAGACAACTGTGTGATACTGTACAGTACAAGTGATTGCCAAATGACTCCATGATGCCCTGGAATCTTCTACTCCTGGACTACTTCTTCTTCTTCTTCTTCTTTTTTTAATCCTTCCATTTCATCTTCAGCACTGTGCAGAGCACCAGGCAGCCAGCAATGCTGATTCTTCCACATGGAAGCTCCAAAGATTCCAGCCCAGTGGCTGAGCCTGGATGGATTCTAATGGATCGATGATAACCCAGCTCTGCAGCCTGCCAGTGCCTGGACCACCACCCCATTAGCAATATACAAACAGTTAAAAAATAATGTTTATTTTTTATGGAATATGGTGCAATAGGCAGAATGCAGGAGACATGTCACCATTAGCTGTGGCCCGCTTACGTCCTCTGTGTCCCCCATCCTTGTGGCTTCCTTTCAGAAACAAGTGAGGTTGAAAAGGAAAAGAAAACATCTGCTGGGAGATCTGCTGTCTCTGTCCACAGATGGGTCCTGCCTGAGAATTCAAAATTAGAGGAGCATAGCGCCTATCCTGGCCCTGCTCAGTCCCAGCACGCTGCCCCAGCTTGGAGCATTGGGCTCCCTGCAGATACCCAGCAATACACAGTTCTGGGGCCTCATTAATCTTAAAAGGGAGGCAGCCATAGCCCTGCCTCCCTCAAGAACAAGCCCAGCATTTGCCCCAGGAGCCTGAAGGAGAGGAACTGTGAAGACACACAGGATGTTTAACTCTTGGACGCTCATCCTGGTCATGAGCAGCAATACTGGGATCCCGGAAATGAGATGGGCCTTATTCTGTCGACTAAATGAATGGCTATTTTCTTGTCATTTTTTTAAGTGCAACTCTTGCTTCATGCTGCTTCAGTTGCCAGATGAATGCTGAGAAATAAGTAATCACAGATGTTTTAATACCATGTCATTGCTGTTTTACGAGTGTTCATTATTTAACAAAAATTATCTTTTAGCTTGTTTGCTTATGACTTTTCTTTCTGATGAATGGTGATGGTTGTACTCTGTTTTGATGATTTACCTCATGTCTTGCTTGTGGAAGAGCCAGCCAGCACTCAGCAACTATGGTTAGGTGGCCTTGCAGGGAAAGAATCATGAATCACACAGCCCTAGCTGCTTAAATGTCCATCTTGAGCCATCAAAGGATGCAGAGGCACTCTGTTTGAGTTCTCCCTGCAGCTTTAAAATATTCCCAGTCTATGGGATCCTGGCATCAAAGCCCCAGAAATACTGACTTAACTAGTCAGAAGTTCAGTCTGATGATTTCAGTGGATACTACAGGTGAGAACCCTGCCTGGAATAATAACAACAAGTTTAGTCTCTCCAACTTGACACTGCCCACCTTGACCTTGAACTTTAATGTTTTAAAAATTACTAGCATTGTTTTTCTTAGTTAAACACAGCATTCATCTCAAAAAGATAATCCAGAACATTCTCTAAGGCCATAGTTCTAGGAAGAATGTATAGAAGCTGCCCAAACACTCCCCAACAAGAGTTAAACGAGCTGGCCATATAGAAAGTAGAGGATTGGAGGTCAACCTAACCTGGAATCAGATTTAGTCATGCTATTTTCTCATTGTGTGATCTTGGACAGATGTCTGTAACACTTTGAACTGTGTCCCTGGGACAGGATAATTGAAAGGTTTACTTCATAGGATTGCTGGAGACTTCCTGGGGCCAAGAGAACTGTGATGGGTGTAAGTAGGAACATTAAATGGCATGGCTCTGGTTACTGTCAGAATTATTCATAGGCCATTTCATAGCATATTTTTTATCATTTTCTCTTTTAGTTCAACCTCTCAGGATTTAAGCATCATAAACCATTGTATAAAATAGGGAGGGGTGTTGGTCTGATGCATTTTAAACTCAAGGGATGCCCAAACTTCCATCTCTTAAGATTTGGTAAAGACATAGTTTCAGTCTGTCTAGGCAAGTTAGTTCATTCATGCTAGCCCAGCTACCCACCATATCCCAGTTTTGTCTTTCCAAATGGAAGAGCCTTTGTTTCTAAGGCTGCTGCCCTTGCTATAGATTCTCAAGAACTACTACATCCATATTTCTCCAGGGTAAGGAGACCAAGGCCATTTCAGGCATCATACTAGTCATGATCAAAAGTGATTGTATGCAGAATTGGAACTAATGGATTGGGGCTGTGTGGCTCATCAGCATATTTAGTGGGTAGAACAGTCCAGTGAACAGCATGGCTGTGGTGACTGTAGGGGAAGTGGCTGAATGTCATCCTCAGTGGCCATGTTAGTATCTGCTGCAAAGCAGAGCAACCTTCCTGCAGCTTGTACTTCATTGGATCTTATTATCATGAATGTTGTTCCCATCACTGACTAATACTGCATGGGCAGCCCCATCCTTGGGCACATGGACATAGCCTCATATCAGCATTCTAAGAGAAACATAGTAAGGAAGGATGAAAACTGCAGGTCAGAGAAACGAACATACTCCACACCACATATGTAGGCAGGTGTTGTGAGAGGGCAGAGCTATACCTGCAAAGCCCCAGCCTGGCTTACCCCAAGGGACAAAGTGCTGCTTCTGGCATTTACATCCTTGCCCCTGCCAAGGAAAAAGTGTCTTTTCCATGCCAACCTATTCAAGCATTGTGAAGTCATTCTCAAAACCATATTGTTGAAAAGCAGAGACCCAGAGTACATAATACTTTTCCCAAAGTCCTATAAAGCCAAGTAGCAACCCTTGTCTACTCAGTTTTGTCCATGTCTTAGACCTCAGCTGCAACACGTGGCAAGAGAAATGGCCTGGATCACACAGCTCATAAGACATAGACACAATGCTTAAGGACATGGAAGATGTTCGGCTTTCTATGTTTCCAGCTGACTTTATCAGAAATTTAGGGAGCAGGATGGAGAGACCTGAAATGACATCAATGCTTAGGAAGTCTCTCTTCCAGTGGCTGGTTTCCATGCTCCCTTCTTTAAGATGGCGGTGGTATATCAACTCGATTCTCCAGATGTTGCTGTTCCATTCCTGAAAAATGGCTCTTTCACCTCTCTCATTTACTCTTTATTTTGCTTGAGAAGACTGACTTTACCAGGAGTCCTCACTTAACTGGATATCCTCAGCGCACAAGGTCTCCCACTTTATGAAATACCTTCTCACCACCAGGTACCCTGCATATACTAGGTGTCTCATCTTACCAGGTATTGCATACACACACACACACACACACACACACACACACACACACACACACACACACACATACCTCACTGGGGTCTCCTGTGATATCCTATGTCCCATCACACTGGAGTCCCCAATTTATCAGATAGTTAACCATACCTAGAATTCCTCCTGTATTAAGTCTCTGGAATACACAATAGGCTCCCATTTTATGCGTATCTCAACTTACCAGGCATCTCCACCCTCCAAGTGCCCTTCCTTGATCTAAGCAGGCATTACATAACCAGCTACACCCATTTGACCAGGTATCCTAGCTATCCTCATGAAACTACAGTGAGTCCTAAGAACATGATGATAAAGACCATATCTGTAAGTACTGACATGGAAGTTACTGGTTGGCTGCCCGGTTCCTCCAGACAGGCCACATGACTAAGTAGGAGAACATGAACAGACTCTTCCATGCTAAGCAGAACATCCCTCAAGCCTGGCTAGACTCCTGCCCTCTGAAAGCACTAGAGGCCACCTAGAATGCAGAATGAACTCTGAATATGAAGAACATCAGTGGACACCCCTCCTTTGCCAGTAATTGTTTCATCTCCTTGAATATAAATGCTAAATGGCCACCACAGTTCTGGCCATGGCCAAAACTTGATCTGATTTTCAGAGGCTCTGAGGCTCTAGTGGTCTGGTTAAAGTTCTAGTCTCTTCTGAGGACACACTTGTGTTTCTACTTGCACATTTATTGCCATGCATATTGACATCTCTTGACTCAAGTGCAAATAAACTATAGCATAGCAACTCTGAACCTTAGTCCAAGCAAGCTTTTGGAAAGTGGAGTAGACCTATCTCTTAAAAGAGTCCAGGCTGTGCATCTGCTCTGCTCTCAAACACTGGGAATATTAGATGCACCAGAAGGGGTGATCATGGCTGCGATGTTCCCAACTAGTTACATCCCTGGTCATCAGGATAAGTTTAGCTGACCAAGGGGCACAGAATCAGAGGCCTTTGCGCTCCTGGGCTTAGCGTCTTAGCTCTGCAAGATAACAGTGGATGTTAAACTCACAGACACATGGGGCCTGAGGATGGCTGACACCCTGCCAAACAAGCTTGTAAATGGAGTAATAACTACATCAGCCTGCTGAGCACCCCAGGAAAAGGTCAAAGCTCCATGTGGAGAAAGCCACAGGGATGAGAGCTTCTGTAGGCAGGACTTGGGATCCCAGAGCATTGTCTGTCGCAGCAGGAATGAAGGGTGGGTGGGACATGGCAGCCACAGCCTTGGCCACACTGGGGGCTGAGTACTGCTGCCTGTGCACCCGGGACAGGGCACTGGGCAAGGAGCTCCACAGCTCTATGTGGTCGAGTGACTCATGGCAAGGGAAACCTTCAGGGTAATGGGAGATGATAGAGCAGAATGTGGTTGTCTTCTGCAAGAGGCTTTAGGCTGGAGGCGTTTCTAGGGGGTGATGCCTGCCTGGGCTTTCTAAAGCTTAACAATGGCAAGAGGGGCAACTCAGGATCATAGGTGGACCTGTATCTTCTTGAGGCAAAAACTGGCAAGCAAGCCTTGGTTCCAAGAGGAAGGTCAAGAGCTAATTCCTCAGGGTTTTGTCACCTCTAGTGTTCCTGTTATCTTATGGTTTTCTTTGTTTTTAAATAACAGTGTGCAGGACAGATTTCTTACAGAAAGCCTTGGAAGGCCAGGTGACAGTGAGGTGAAGTCAGGGCTGAGTCACAGGGATGGGATGGGATGGGATGGGATGGTATTGTCCTGACTCTCATACTCATTGACATTCACCATAGGCACTGCCATTGCCTGACATACATCTGCCCCATTAGCTGTCCCCAATCAGCACAACTGAGATATGTAGGCCACAAAGCTTCCACAAATACTTCTGAATCAATACCTTGGGTTCTCTGCCTCCCTCCTTGTCAGGATTCCACTGAGTGACTGAGCCATCAGGCCACTGCTTTCCATAGCCACTGCACCTATCCCAGCTCTGGCGGTGACAGTCCCTTTAGCTGAGCACTGTAGCCAGTCTCTTCTCTCACAACCAAGCCTTTTGCTCCAGCACAGTGTGAGCTCAGGTCTGCCTCCATCAAGACTCGAGAGAAAAGTCTACGTGTCTGCCTAGCACATAAGCATACATCGGGAAGCAAAGAGTAACACAGGGTGTTTTGCCAGTGAGTGTCAGTGAGCACAGCCCCTATGTCCGCCAAAGCTATCTACTTTGCTTTTCACTGATGTCAGGTCATTTGGGAACGATCTGAATCTAGATGGACAGAAAGCAGAGCAGTATGATACCTATATATCTGTGTGTAGGGAACAGAGGTGCCACACATCAGGATCAGCATGCAGCTCTAACTTAAAGTAGAATGACTTAATGTCCTCACCGTGCTCTGCTCGTGACATTCATGATACCTGGCTCTAACTCACGATTCCAATTAATAAGAAGCAGCGATTTGTATCTGTTTCTGCTACATAATGAATCCATCTTTAGGTTCAAATTATTTTCTTCAGCAAATCAAGATGTTTAGCCAAGATGCTTGGTGCTATTCTAAGTCACATAAACTAACTAACATCTTTGTCACCTGGATGTGATTCCCACACATTTTAAGTAACTTCTGTTTTCTGATTGCACTGGTTGGTGAGGTGTACCTGGTGAGTAGGCAGGATCTGTTAAGATTGGCTTGTACTTACTGAGGGCGGAATTAGCCTTCCATTCACAAGGAGCTGTGCAAATGCAATCTCCTGTTAGCATGAGACAACATTCCTATTTGTTTCCTCAAGAGACCCTTGGGTAATTAGAAGTAAGAGGCAGTGGTTGACCACTGACAGTCTTTAATTCAGAAAAGAGATCAGGCTCGTTTCAGCTTTATAACTCAGTTGACGATGAAGTGGGGGTGGGGTGGTAATGTGGAACCCTCACAAATGAAGCTCTTCTAGTTTTATTTCAAGAAAATCTTCAGCTTCTTCCGATATCCCAAATCAGCTCTTCACATGGCATCTTTTGGATTTCCTAGCAACGGGTCTTTTAAAATAACATGTGTCTTGCATTTGAAGAACAAATTGCAAAACGATTTTTGCATTTCACATTTGTAGCAGGACTTTGCCACACTTGTCCCTATCTTCAGTGAAGAGTTCTCCATGCCACCTGCTGGGGAAAGGACAGAATCGAGGCTTAGGCTCAATCTAGGAGTACTGAGGCCAGTGTCCTTCTAGCAATAGTCAGAGATAGCCTTGGGTGTCCCCAACTGAGGTCTAACTGAAATTTGGGCATCAAGGACACCCAGTTGTGCCCACCCCCACACAGTTGAGCACCCCTTTGCTAAACTTGCAGCAGAAGAAAAGCTGGAGCTATCTACCTTGTCATGCCCTGTCCTGTGGCTTACCCTAGAGGAGGTGTGGACTCCAGATGGGGAAAGGATCATTCTCTGGACCCCTCCCCAGACTTCACCTGGACTGGATTCGTCTAAGTCAAGTTCCCAGAGAGGGAGAGACTGGGGTGTTTGAAAGAAAAGGCATAAGACCAGAAGGGCATGAATCAAAAGACATACACAGCAGTATGAAGGTGTGACAGAGAACGAAATCAGCAAACCAGGGGCAACTTTCCACCACTGTGGATATTTGTCAGTGTCTGGAGACATTGTCACAACTGTCTGTCTTTTAGACAGAGGCCAAGGAGGCTGTAAATGAAGTCATGTTTGAATAGACTACAATTTAAGCAGCATAAGGGAAGGATCAACCACACAAGTAGAGGGTCACCTGGCTGCGGGGAGCCTGAGATCTACTCATAGACCCATGAAAGGCTTCACAGCTTAGCAGGAGAGCAAGAGAAGTGGGAGAGTGGAACCAGAGGAGGGGAGGAAGAAGCCAAATGCCAGAGCAGCCCAAGGCACAGCTCTGCCTGCTTTTACTTGTACGTATCTTAATTGCAGTACAAGGTAAGCAATAAGATAATGATGGCCCTCACACTGGTTAAACCATGGCTCTAGAAAGGAAGGGTCTGCATCACCCTAGAAGGGCCACAGCCCCATTCACAGATGGCAGAACCAAGGTTCTCTGTAAGGCAACTTTCCCAAGTCAGCCAAGTGGGTAGAAAGGGACTCCGGCCTTCCCATCATGACTGGCTGAGCTTCCTTCCCTACTGCTCTGCTAAGGCAGGTAAAGGATACTGTCACAACCCATAAGACACACACATTGTTGTATATATATATACATAGTGTGTGTATGTGTGTATGTACGTATGTATGTATGTATGTATGTATGTATGTATTGCTTCCTAGAGAAACCAGCCTACCCCAAACCCATGGACAAGGGATAGGGAAATGAAAGCTCAGGCTTTCAGTCAACCCTATGTGACTTTCCATAGAAAAGCAAGCAGCCCACATACCAATTATAACATCCCTCAATACATCACATTATGGTGCCCCCAGCCTCCTTCTCAGGGATGGGAACCCAGCCTCCACCATAGCTTCCATGAGACTCTTCCTCTGTGTTACTTCACTGAGACCTGTAGCCATTCCCTAGTGCTATCCATCTGGTCTCCTAGTCCCCTTCCCTAGTAAGAACACTTCTGAGAAGTGCCACTACCTGGAGGCTGCAATCACAGATTTGGCCCCTGCAAACTCACTGGATGAAGACAAGTTTGACAGGCTTGCCAAATTTACCCAGAACTCACAGCACAGAGAACACTTGTCCCCCAGCCCTGGGAAAGAGACTGGGCACAGGTTTTGTTTGCAGAGACCCCCATTAGCAGAATGCAAAGAACATGTGTGGCATGGACGTTTGCAGCTAAGATTTGAGTAGCACTGAGACAGCTTGCATTCCTGAGATTACCTGCACACTTTGAAAACCCACAAGTGTTCACTTGCAGATCACATCTGAAACAGACTTCCTCTGGACTAAGCTCTGTTGTCCTGGAAGCACTCCTGAATTATGATGGTGTGGCTGGGAAAGCAGCCTCCACTTCTAAGTTATGTACCAAAGACGTGCATAACAATTTTTCAGTTTGAAAGCTAAAACAGAAAATGTGATTTGTTGGAAAATTAATCAAGTGAAACCACAGCTCCTAGAGATTAGCCCAGGAACATGTGAAATGGCAACATGGGCTTGAATATAGGTTAATCAGGCCCCAGAAACCCAGAAGCACTTGTGGTACCTTTAGCCACTAACCCAAGGCATGGAGAACCCAGCACCATCCCCGGTCTCTCTGCTGTACCCCCAGACTGAGCAGAGGATAACAGCAGCCTCTGTATCACACACAAGGGCTCCTTACACATAAGAATCTGGTACACTGCTGGCCACACTGCAGCCGGTGCACAGCAGTCCAGCTGTGCCGGCTTAACCTACTGGTCATTATTATTGTCATATCAGATCTTCCAGCTGTCCCTTGCCGATCTTCAGTGACACCAGTGACCTCTTTGATTCTACCTGGAGCACAGCAGATAAACCATCATCAGACAGGGGCTGCGGCATCCCCTTCCTCCCCATCTCTCATCAGCGGCAGGAAAACTGTAAAACCACTCCACTCGAGCGTTCTTTCTGCCAGTTTACTTGAAATGCATTGATTTCCCCAGGGTTGGCTGGGTTTGCTGCCTGTGGGTAATGCTCATTGGTTGAAGCTTTCATTTCCACAGTGGCTTGCCTGCCGGTCCCACCTCTGGAGCTCTCTGTTTTTCTGCATCACGGAGTGCTGGTCAATGAAATGCCTTTACAGTGAGAGCTGCCCGAGTGTCTAGAATGATGTGCAGGAAAGACTTTCGCTGGATGTGTGCTGAATTTGATTAACTTGAATTTGTGATTTTATACACAGTCCGTGCTTTCTCTCTCGGTGGGCAGTGAGCAATATGTTGTCTGTCCAAACTTCAGTGAGAGGCCTGTCATAATGTGAGGAGGACCAGAGAGGCAGGAATGAAAGCTGCCTGGTAATGATGGGCTGAGTGCAACAGCATTCAATTATGAATCCTGGGGATTGTTGTCAGGGAGACCCTCTCCACTCCTCCTCTAACAACAGAGTGATTTTTGTGTCCTCCTTATCTGGGGGTCACACACACTTCAAGGTGGTGGTTGTTCGTTAGGGAGGGAGGCATTGAGGGTGGCAGGCAGCAGAGGCATGACTGAAATACTGGCAATCTCCAGCTCTCAGGATGAGAGGGGTAAAACTACTTCGAATCATCTTAAACTGTGTATGCACACAGTACACAATGTGTGTGTGTGTGTGTGTGTGTGTGTGTGTGTGTGTGTGTGTGTGTGTGTATGGTGCCCATACACTTGTATACTCATATTTGTAAACATTTGTGCATGTGTGCACACTGTGTGTGTTCCCATGCGTGTGTATGTGTGTGTGTGTTCCCATGTGTGTGTGTGTGTGTGTGTGTGTGTGTGTATCTGTGCGTGTGTGTGTGTTCCCATGTGTGTCTGTCTGTATGTGTGTTCTATGTATGTGTCTTGTGGATGTTTCTGTGTGTGTATGTCTGTGTGTGTGTGTGTGTGTGTGTGTGTGTGTGTGTGTGTGTGTAGGCCAGAGGTTGACATCAGGTTCTTCCTCAGTTGCTCTCTGCTTACTTACTGAAACACAGTCTTTCACTGAACCAAGAGCTCACAAATTCTCCTAGTTGACCTACCAAGCTTGCTCCAGGGATCCCCTGCCTCCACCTTTTGAATGCTGGGATTCTACCAGGGAAGCTGTGCCCATTTGGGTTTTATGTGGGTGCTGAGTATCCAAATTCTGGTCTTCACATTTGTGCATTAAGCACTTTATCCAGTGAGCCATGTATCCAGCCTCATACACAATTGACGTGTGTGTGTGTGTGTGTGTGTGTGTGTGTGTGTGTGTGTGTGTGTGTGTGTGTGTGTGTGTGATTTAGGGTTGGCAGACATGAATGAGGAATTCTGAAACCCAATTCACCAACGTCACTTCATCAAACATTCCTGAGCCTAACTTTCTTCATTTTCACAGTGGGAGAAGCAGACACCTGGTACAGAAGCACTGTGAGACAACACAAGGGACAGGCGTGACGCAGGGCCTCCTGAGCAGCAGTGACTGCTGTCTCATTGCAAATGTGGTTCCCATTCCAGCCCTGTATCATGCCGTCCACATGACTTCAACTCCCTCCGTATTTGAATATTTATTTTAAAGCAGGTATTTTACTTTATGTATTTGTTTATTTCCATCAACATTATTTGTTTGGGGAAAAATACTGTGTTAGGCAGATGTTCTTAGATCTGATTAAATCTGATCTCATTAATAATGCCCTTACGAGGTATGTAAATGGGAAAGCTATTTTTAAATTTGACAAGAAAACTGAGGTGCTCAAAGTTGAAGTATAGATTCTACTCCATAGAATAGTTCCTCTTCTTACAAAGGAGTATTCCAAAAACCCAAAGGCTGCTTTCCACATTTGAAAATCTCACCCCACGAACAAAAAAGAAAAGACCTGGTTCAAATGTTCAGCCAAGGACACTCAGCACCCGACGCTCTTCAGTCCCCAAAGTTCCTGTCAGCCTTTGAGAGATCCTGGAGGCTGTTACTAGGGAACTGGGGAAACTGCTACACTGAGAGAAACGTATGCTTGAAAGCTGAAAACTCTCCTTGGAAAAATTTTGATTCACAACACAGCTGTGACAACCTTCCTTTCATCTCCAGAGAGAAGAGAAGTGTGCTCTTTGAAAGCTCCACAGAAAGAGGTGAGCTTGGCAGCCTCTGTTCCCACAGACCGGAAGCTGTGTGTTTTCACTTCACCACCGAGATGCAGCAAAAGGATTCCAAAGGAAAGTTCTGAGGTCTGGCTTTTGATCGGCGACCGTGGCACCTTCAGGTTTCCTCTGCCTGACCTCTGTCTGCCTGAGATGTCGTCTCCCTGACCCCCAAGTGTGATTGCAACCGTGAGGGTGGAGGCAGGGAAAAGAGACGCCATCTTCTGTGCACTCTTTCACGTGGGTGTCGATGAGATCAAAACTAGAAAATGAAAGAATACGTTAAACAATGTTTCCTGACAGGGCTTCTCCAAGAAAGAGAAGTCAGTCCTGCTGTCCTCCTCAGGGTCTTCTTAAAAGGCTGAGTCTTCACATCTTCTCCTGCCTATGCCATCTCTGCAAATGATGAAAGACAGCCAGATACACGATCAAGCCTATGACACCCAGGGAGCAGCTCCAGCCAATAGCCATGGGAATTACTGAATAACTGTTCCAGCTTTTTAAGGTCTTGGGGGTGGAGACTACAGGCTCTCAGGGTCCCTCATGAGGTTAAGCCTCAGCTAGTCAGGGCCATTGCCTGATTTTGCAGGTAGCCTCTTCCAGCTCCAAACCCTTTTGGATCTCACATCGCCTCCCCAGTGCTTCCTGGGATTGTCTCTCAAGCAAACCACTGGCACTACATCTGTAGAGGGATCTGCAGGGGTGACTGCCCAAGGCTTCACCTTCCTGTCCTCTCCTCCCCTTTCTAACACCAAGTCTCTAACACAAGAATTGACCTCCACAACCCTGCTTGATTTTCTTGCGTCATCAGTATTTTACTACCCCACTGCAGTAGGTAGTGGGACTACTACTGCCTACCACGGCCATTGTAGACATGAAGTCCTACACTGCACACAGCACCTCAGGGAAATACCGTGAACCTCGGTGCTTGTGGCTTCCACTCCAACAAGCTTCCTGGTCCAGGGGCCTCATGAATATAACAGCAATCATACCTGTCTCTGTCCTTTACTGTGAGCCTGAAGTTGACCCTTTTTAGTGCATGGTTACAGGACTTTTAACAATAAACACTGATAAATAAGAGCTATCATAGTCAAAGATAGTTCATCACCCAAATCCATGTACTGTAGGAAGCAGAGGGAGCCTTGAGTGAGTGAAGTCCTGAGTGAATTGTTGACATGGGCACAGCCATAACAAAGACCAGGGCCTTGGACCCATGGCAAATTGGCAAAGCTATCCCTACATGGGCCATGCTCAGAGTTGTCAAAACTTCTTTTCATCTGGTCTAAGAGTTTACAGACAATTGATTGGTGTGTGCAACAACTAGTAACTGAAGCTCCCCCCTCCTCCTGGATGATAACCATCTGTAGTGGGTAGCCATTCCAGCTTTGATCTGGAAGTTCCAACCCCCATTGAGGCTTCAGTAACTGTCACGCCTACAAGGCAGGGCCAAGAGAGGACCCTGAAGACCCAAGATCCAGATGCGCCAGCTCTCTTAGTTCCTGGACCCTGGATGCTGGAGGCAGACCGAGCAGAGTTCTCCAGAGAACACCACTGGACTGCGCTATGCCTTTCCCAGACTCTGTAAACTATCCATTCACTTGTAAGTTACCCCACAAAATAAACCTCCCTTTTAACTACGTGGAGTGACCTTAATAATTTCACCAATAACCATCTGTTCACCTACAGAGACTAGCCACTCCTGTCCCTGTGCTGTACATAATAAGCATGCTGAGGGTCCAGGGTATGGTGGTACAGCGGTAGGTGCCTCTGCATCAGAGTGCACACACCACTCTACCTGATCCCAGCTTTTCTGTACCTGTGTCTGTCCTTTCTTTATTCTTTTGTCACTCCTAGACAAGGTTCCAGGACCCAAGCCATGCAGAGCAGAGCATGTTCGTTCCTTGGAGCCACTGCCTGTCCCACCCACAGTCCATGGGAGCTACTACCTGGTCATTGTTCCTATTGTTCCTATTGCTCTTGCCTTTTCAAGAGTACTACATGACCAGTATCATAGACTCTGCATGCTTTTGAGTCTGGCTTCCCTCGGCCTTCCTTTGAGATACCTCCAGGTCATTGCTGGCATCCAACTTTCTTCATTTTCATTGCTGAGTACTGCTCCATGTTGTGGTGTAGAATGTTTGTCCACTGAGGAACATTTGGGTTATTTTCAGTTTGGGGCAAGTGTGTGCAGGGTTAGACCAGTAGTGAATTACTAACACCTCTATGTCTTGTGACTTTTCCCTGTCTCGTGTCTGCATTTCCTTACTAGTGCTTCCTTCAACCACTGTCCCCAAAGACCTTGTCTGAGGTATGATGTGGGATACCCAGCTGAAGCAGCAGATGACCACTATATTAAGTGGAAGTCTGGTGAGATGGGACACCATATAGCAGTGCTGGTTCTGAGGGACAGGTGTAGACAAATCATGTACAAAGTCCAGATACATTATTTCCTGGGGGGTGGGGGGTTCTTGGTTCTAGCCAACACTGGCTGTCAGCACAACCTGACTATTTACATGAAGAAGTTTTCAGCAAAATTTAGACCTCTGGTGGAGAATGAGTGGCCTGCTTTTTCTATGTTGCAATGACTCTTTTTTTTTATTTGCTGTTTTACAAATCCCATAATTTGGAAAAATGTGAAAATTATTCACAATTCTTATTTCAAAAATTACTTCCATTAACAGCTGTGTTCAGTCACTTCAGCTATATCCTGTACATAATGGGAGTTTGTGTTTTACGCTAGCAAGTAAATCATAGACGCATTCTTCTCATCTACTCTGCAATGACCTTCCCTTTCTGGATGAAAGGATACCGCCATTTTTGATGTCTGTATCTTGTCCTTCCACACTTTCTAACTTTGCCTTATTCCACTAAAAGGTGAAGGGGGTATTGTTGCATTTTACTTTTGTTGCTGTGCTAAAAATACTCTGAACAAAAATAGCTTGGGTAGAAGAGGATTTATTTGGCTTGTATTTCCTCATCCCAGCCCATCACTGAGGGAAATCATGGCAGAAACTCAAGCAATGAAAGAGGCAAGCACCATGGTGGAAAGCCACTTCCTGGCTTCCTTCCCATGACTTGTTCATCCAGCTTTCCTTCTTTTTCTTTTTTTTTATTAAGAATTTTTTTATTCATTTTACATAACAATCACAGATCTCATCTAGCTTTCTTATACAACCTAAGATCACCAGCTCAGGGGTGGTACCACCTCCAGTGGGCTGGGCACTCCCACATCAGTAAGATATCAAGAAAATACCCCACAGACAAATTGACAACAGGCCAGTCTGATCAAGGCAGTACCTGAGTTGAGACTTCCTTGGGTAACTCAGGGTTGTGTCATGTGAATAAAGGACGCTCCCCTGTGTTTGAGTGGTACTGAGGCTCCTGGCTTGAGCCTTTCCTGGTACCCACATTCATGGAGACAGATTTCAGTGTAAGTCAGCAGAGATGCAACAGGAGTCAGACCACAGAGGTCCAATGAAGGCTGAGTGACAATTGAAAAAGGGGTGGGAGAGGGATCTGAGATCTTCAAGAAGATCCAAAGATACCAAGAAAGAAGCTCAGATACTGTCAAGGACCTGAAGCTGGGCAGGAACATCCCCCTTGCATACATTCATTTATGTGGACTGAAGGATGCCCAGAGTGCCAGCCTTTGGAGTCTATAGGTTTTATGCCTAAGAAAACACATTAGAAGCTTGTAACCAGTCCCAGGTTTGATTGTGAAGTAAACGCTGAGGAATGTGTAGAAGACATAGGCCTTGGGTACAAACAGCAAAATGTAATAAGTCAATGTCATGAAAGTACCTTACCATCCTTGGTAAGTCAAAGTCCAAACCATGCTTGTCTCTGACACCATTTCCTCTGACACAATGCTCCTCAAAACAAAATGGAACCCATTTCCAAGGGACATCAAAGTCAGCTAGAGATGCAGAGGTCAATGTGAGGGAAATCAGCAATCAGAAGAATGAGAAAACCTTCTGAGGAGATGGCAGGCGTGGAGGGGCTAGGCAAGTAGACAGAATGACAGTCCTGAAGATGACTGCTTTGGGGAGAAGATGTTTAACTGGAGGGAAAAATCCACAATGTAGCTTCCGTGAAACACTTAAAATGTCTTGGGAACAGCCAGTAAACATTCTTAGTGCTGTTGGGAAGGTAGGCCACATGTGCTCCATGGTGTGAAGACTGGTCCTGATTTTCCATCACCTGAGTGATCCAAGCCTTGGACCAGCAAGACCTACAGACCACACTACAGTATGTTCTCTGCCTTGGATTATGAATCTGTGGGGTAGGGGTAAGGTCCATAGATTCTGAGGAGGACCAGGGTTTAGAACCTACAGGATGAGAATACTCAAAGCCATGGTTGTCCTGAGGGAAAGCCTGATGTGAATCTGTCACAGAAGGGCCCTGGGAGTCCTCCATGCCTTGTCTCCATCTGCTAAGCCTGCTGGGCTGCACAATGAGAGCTGAAGGAGTTATTGATGCTGTAAATTTAAGGAAATGAAGCATTGAAGAAGATAATTTTCTTTTTGATCCCAAGCCAAGCTTCCTTTGAAAGGCTGCTATAAATCCAGTGTCGCTGAGGAGGGCCTTCCATCCTCTGTTCCTGACACCTACCTCTTACTGTGACTGAGCTGCCTGTCCAGACAGACTGTTTGGGGCCTCCTGAGTCCTAGGCACCCCTGGGACCAATGACTTTATTTGTCCAAGCACATGCTGAAGTGCTTCTTGCCTCTCCTTGATGCCTGCTTGGCTTATCTGGACCCATTTTCACTCTTTTTTTAGTTTCATAAAAATCCCTTCCACAACTGCCCTTTTCAAGCTTTACAGCCAACATCAGAATGGCTTCCCACTGAAGCACTGGCAGTGGGTGAATGCAGTCAGAGGGTGCTCTGATGGCTATGGCATGACATAGATCACGTGCCAACTCAATGGCCAATGTCTCACCCCAGCCCCCAGATTCTATGAGAACCAACCATAGGAAATTTATAACAGGCATGGCAAGTAATGGGTTCAGTGTGCTTGGATAATAAGATAGAGTTGGAATGCATGGATTCTTGACAAGTGCATTCTTCATCCATCCATTCATTTACTCACAAATTCCCTTTTAATATATTTTATTAATTATTTAATATGATGTATGTTGATCATATTTACCCTCACTCCTCCCCCTAACTCCTCTCAGCTCCACCCATCTCCTACCACCTCCAACTTCATGTCTCACTCACTCGTAGTGATACTTTCAACAAACACAACTAAGAAGGAGGC